CGGATCCCCTGTGGGGCTTCGTCGCGTGCGTCAGCCTGGCTTGTCTGACGTCCGTGCCGCCTGGTTGGAGGAGTCGGCTCCCCTTTCCCGTCGACGATGGCAACGGAGCCACCTTGGCGGAGCTCCAACCGTTGAGCTTCGATGTCGATACTTCGTACGTGTGTATCGATGAAGGCCGTACCAAGGAGGACCGGCACAACGAGCTGGTCCGCCACGACGAACGGAATTCAGAACGTCGTGTTCCTCAACCGCACGGCCAGACGTACGACGGCCGAGAGCTTTAGCGGGTTGCTATTCGCGCCTGCCAATCGGGGCAGTGGCGCGTCGCGGATGACGTACCGCGACCAATCGGGAGGAAGGTCAGCCTTCCTCACCAGATTGTACCCCGAGCACGTATCAACGGCGATCGTGCGGGGCTTGAAGGCATTTCCCTCCGTGGCTATCGAACCGAGGACGTTGTAAATCTTCGACCTCATAAGGCAAATGACGCCGTCGACCACCTTCGGCGTGCCCGGCGCGGCGAGATCGTTCCGCCTGGGCCGCCGGCGGCGGTTCCGACTTCTCTTCTGCGTCCTTCTGCCTTGGGCGCGGGGCGCTCTTCGGTCTGCTGCGTCCCCGCGACAAGTCGCGTTCGTACGCCGCTTGAATTCTTCTGGCGGCCCCGGGTCCCCCTGGGTCAGGCCGCCGGCGCGTTCGATGCGCTTCTTGTTATGCACTTGGCTCACGGTTGCCACAGTGCCTTCCTCCATCGGCGCCGGGCTCACGGTTGCCTCAGCGTCTTCGTCCTTTCGCACCGAGCTTACGGGTGTCTCGGTGCGCGTGTGCGGGGTTGAGGGGAATAATATCGGTAAACATTCCCCTCCCCCGCCGGGGACAAGTAGGGGCGGGTCTAGGTTGGTGTGACAAGACGGTTCACGGGACCGCGCGAACGTAACCGTCTTTACGGGGTTTTCGAACTACCCGAGCTGTCAGTGCTATTCGCTTGGCTATCGTTAGCTAGCGCGTCGACGGGCCCCTGGCCGCGCGGATGGGGACGGTTTCCCCACCCCGACTGGGCATCTTTGACGAAGTAATCGGATACTTCGTGGCCTTGGATTGCAACGTCCGGCCGTTGTAATATTGGAGGGGCGGAGAGAACGGGCTCTTCTCGGCCTCCTTCCGTGCGCTGGGGGTGCGTCTCCCCAGCCCAATCCTGGAGGTACATGATGGCGTTCTATAGCCCTTGGGGCAACGGGGGTCGGCCCCGGTCTCCTCGCCCATCTCGACGGGGATATCGCGTATCCATCCGACGAGGGTCACGTCGATCCCTTTGATCGGTCCCCGGGTATCGGTACGCGCCTTCACGAGAGGCAAAACGGACGCCCCCACCCGATCGGCTCGGGTCACCTCGACGCGGGCCTCGGTCTGCCCGCGTAGACTGCTGGATGAGATTGCGCATTCCGGGGCGCGTCTCCATCTGATAGCGGTAGTTCCTGTACGCCGGGAACTGACGTTGTTCAGGCGACAGGAACGGGCACGCGTACATGGCGTGGCCGTACGTCCGGCACAGCCAACAAATGTACGCGCTGCCATCGGTCGACGTGAAAGTCGCCGTGTGGCCTGCCTCCTCATCGGTGAGTCGAGGGACGTTGGGCAGCCCGCGGTCTCCTTCTCGACGGGAGATATCCAGCTCGGCCATGTTGTGGTTCGGACCACCCGTGGCTCTTGGCGTGTGCGCGAACGCCGTTGGGAAGCTTCCAGTCGAACTGGTCGAAGCTGGCGTAGGGAGTCGGCCTCCCGCCCGGTCGAAGCCTTGTGCAATGAGGACAGGGTCGGCCTGCCACTCATCTTCTCCAATGTGGAGGGCGGTCGCCGGTGAACTTGTTCCGTGCGACCTTGGAGTTCGGACTCCCTTCGCTGCCGGCTTCGGGTCCGGCAGCGGCAACCCGCGACGGGCGCGGTAGGTTGTACCCTCGGCCGTTGCGATACGGCGAATCGTTGAGAGTTCGGTCTTCTGTTGTCCGGGCAACCTTTGCATCGTCTCTGCCACTGCGGCCCGGGTCGCAGTGGACAACCCGCGCACGAAGTAGTGCGCGAGGGCTTGCTCTGAGAACACGGCCGTGCATCGGAACGCGGCGGATTCCAGCCGGTCTGCGAACGTGTTCTCGGTTTCGTGAGGAAGCTGTCGCGCCGACGCGACAGCATCAAACGCTTCCCCTAACACGTCGTCGGTTAGGTAGCGTTTGATAAATTGGTTGACGAGACCAGGCCAGCTCGTGTCGTCGTGGAGCTGGCCGGCGTGGAGGCCGCGCATGGTGTAACTCGTATACAACCGCTCCGCGTCCCGCTCGAGGAAGTGAGCGAAGACACGGATTGCCACATCTTCGGTCAGGTGCTGGGCATTGAAGGTTGTCCGGATATCCTTCAGGAACGGGAGCAACTGAATCGCGTCAGTACCGTCGAAGCTCTTCATCGTGGGACGGAGCCCACGGCAGCGTTGGACGTACTTCGCGATCCGTCCCGCGTCATCCGAGGTAACGAGCCTCGAGGTGTTGTCCAACCGATACATCCGGTAGTTCGCGACGGCACTGAACTCCTGTATCATGGTGTGGACGGGCTCGAGCCCGGGTTCGGCGGGGCCCAACGTTCCGAACGGCGTGATGGGCAACGTTCGGAAGTCGACGGGGCCGGGATGCGCGGTAAGATCCGCTGGCTGGTAGCCGCCCCAGCGAGGATCGAAGGGGAGAATCGGTTCCCTTGACCCGCGGGCGACTCCTCCACAGCCACGGTCGAGTTCGTTCGGTACCCGTCGGGACTGTCGCATGCTTCCGGATGCATACGGCAGGGCTTGAGTCTCGGACGCGAAGTTCGCGTCCGCCGTCGGCTTGATGTCCTCCACCCTCCTGTGGGAGAACGGGTACCGACCGGTGTCGGTAAACGTAACGACCCGGAGGGAGGCCCCGTAGGGGTGATCAGACGATATTGGAAAGGCAGGGGGTAATTCAGCTTGTACACGGGGTGCACGTACCGCCACGGGTGACAGGTGGCGGCGGAATGGCCACGTGTACCGCCGTACGTATAACGTCCCGATCGGGTACAGTAGACTAGTAGTTCCTACTGTAGGGGCGTAGAAATTAGTGTAATGGGAGTGTCAGCCAGGGGAGTCCCAGCTAGCACACGTGGTGCGCGCTCTGCCTGCGAGTACAGGTGGCAGGAGCCCAGCCACGTGTGCTGCTGTGCAGATTACTCCCCGGTGGAGTACAGTAGAGGTACTCCACTGTAGTGATCCAAAGTAGAAGTGGATCACTACTGTACTGCCCGGCCGCCGGAGGTCGACGTACTTAGGGGCCGAGGCAGTACGCTCCCAGAGTAAAAAAAGGGGTAGCGACCCCCGGGGCGAGAACTTAGGAGAAAGAGGCAAATCGTCCCGCACGGGTTATTCTTGAGGGCCGGAAGCACACGCTCCCCAGTTTGGTCGTTCCACCGCCTGGTGGAAGCGTATGCCCATTGAGCCCTATCCCCTCCTGGGTCGCAATTCCACTCGTCCGTTTACCGGAGTCATAACCGCCGCCCTCAAAGAGAGGTTGGTGGTGTTGTAATTTTACCGCTGCCGTGGACACCCCCTCCGTGACGGGGTAAAAACCGAACCGGAAGGATCCATATTATTACAACTGGTCTCCCGACCTAGAAATCTATTTCTAGGATTCTTTTATTGATTTCCGAATCGGACGACTGAAATTGGAAGGGATCGAGAATCACCGCCTCGTTTCAAGATGAGTGGACGAGAAGACGCGAGATCGCAGGGGGGCTTCCCCCGAGACGGAAGGGACGACGGGTCAGTAAATCGGTCCCAGCTGGGCGAACCAAGTCGCACGGACGGCTCGACAGAGAACGCGGGCTCCGTTAGAAGCGCCGAGGCACGAGCGGCGCATGTGGAGCGCTTGGCCCGCGCAAGGACGCGATCGCAGACCAGAGCGGCATTACCACCGACGCAGGCGGAGGGGCCCCTCGAAGGCCGACAACGCGGAGAGAGCGAGCCGACCCCCGCCATACTCGGCGACGAACGTCCAAATAGGATGACGATCCACGGAGACGCCTTAGAGGCCCACCCGGACCTAGGGGACCTGACCCAGAGGGCGGCCCTGAACACGTGGTTGACGGCCGAGCTGGACAAGCGAATCCCGGCTGCCGTGGAGGCGCAATTGACAAGCACGCTCCGAAAGATCGTTGAGGATCACAGCCGGACCCTCGTCAGGAGCGCTGTGGACGACGTAGTCGGACGCGGCCCCTTTTGGGACACGATCACGTCAACCGTGGGGGACGTTACCCGGGCAGAGGTGCGCGCTCGGGCGCCGCCGGCGGAGCGACTGCCGTTGGCGGCAACGGACGTATTACCGCCGTCGCTGATGCTTGGGAACGCGCGGCCGCAATACCCTCTTATGGGACGTGAGACCCCGTGGGATGGAGAAGAGCGCGATGGCCGACTTCAAGCCCAAGAGATGGGACAGCCACCCGCGTTTCCGCCCGGGGCCGGTCGCGCAGTGCTGCCGACGCAGAAGTACCGGAGAAAGACCAAGAGTAAGGGATACGAGACCGGATTGGATACTTCGACCCTGAGGGATGAAATACCTTGCTACGTGGTAGACGAAGACGTACAAGGAGATCTACTGTCCTCCGAGGGCGTGACACCTCGTTATCCCGGCAACCCGGACGTGATGACTCTCGCGCATGATGATGCCGAGATATTGCCCGTGATGCAAGACGACCTAATTAGGGAGCAGAAGACAGACTCGTATTGTAAGGCCATGATGGAAGAGGTCGGGAAATCGGGAACGCAGTTCGAGGTCAATCAACACGGCCTCCTGTGCCGGCGCGCACCCTTGGACGGGAGTATACAGATCGTGGTCCCGGCGTCCCTAAGGGCGAGAATCTCCTTCTTGAGTCATTACCCGAGATTACAGGGACACCCCGGCACGAGCAAGATGTACGAGACAATGAGGCGTCTGTACTACTGGCCTCATATGGCTTCGGACGTCCAACAGACGGTCGCCGACTGCCGGTCGTGCGCCCGCGTGAGGGGAACGCAATACCGCCAGCAGAAGAAGCTAACGTTGTTCCCCGCCGCCGGGCCGCTAGAATTCGTCGCCATGGACCTGTATGGGCCCTTGCCAAAAACCCCACACGGGAACCGCCACATATTGGTCATCACGGACCGCTTTACCAAGCTGTGCCGAGCTATACCCCTTCGGACGACTCAAGCTCAGCAGGTTGCTCAGACCTTCCTTGACGCGTGGGTGTACCCGTATGGCATGCCGGATACACTACTGACCGACAACGGACCCCAGTTCACAGCTAAATTCTTCGAAGCTGTATGCGGCCTTCTCGGAATTCGGCACGTGCTCACGACGGCCTATCATCCGCAAACTAACGGTCAGGCCGAGAGGTTCAACCGGACGTTGGCGACCCGATTGCGGCATTACGTCTCCGAACACCAACGGGACTGGGACGATTACGTACAACCCTTGACGTACGCGTACAATATGCAAGTCCACAAGTCGACGGGTACGACCCCCTTTGACCTCGTCTTGACGCGGCACCCACCAGGGATATCGGTCCAAGCTCCTTCTAGCGCCATACCGTCCCCAAATGGGAGTGAACCGACATCGGCACAAATGAAGCGAATCACCCTACAGCGGGTGCGGAAGATTCTCTCCCGCGCGGGTACCAAGTTGACACACGCCCAAGCACAGTACAAGAGAAATTTCGACAAGGCCGTAAGGACGTTACCCTCCTTCGAGGTCGGACAGGAGGTCTTTCTCGACAGACCCCCGGATTTTTCTGCGACGCCGCTCGAGAATGAGGACGGCCACCGGAAACTCCTTCCTAAAACGACAGGTCCCTATAGGTTCATAAAGGCGCCAGTGGACGGAGACACCGTCACGATTGAGCGCAACGGTCTCTTGGATGCAGTATCCATAAACCGTGTGACAAAGGTGCCGCAACCCTCCATCCCGAAGGCCCCCTCGTCCGTAAGGTCGACGCCCATGGCGATACCCCCGGCAAGCGGAACCACACCACCCGAAAAGGCCTCCGTATCACGGACCACCCGGACGGTCTCCATCGACCCAGACAGCGAGGTCCCCGTCCATCAGGACCCCGCTGAGGCCGAAGCGGATACAGAGCACGCCATAGACCGCATCGTCGCCCATGGCGAGGCGGACGACGGCTCCCCACTTTATCGCGTCCGATGGTTCGGCTATAGCCCCAAAGAGGACACCTGGGAGCGAGCGGATAACCTCCCAGAGAACTTCATCCGCCGATACCGAGCTAGACACTGACCGAGACGGTCAGTCCAAGAAGAGGGGTAAGACTTCCGAATTTTGGGATATACCTGTAAACCCTGTCGGGAGAACGGCGAAAGACCGACAAGACGGACAATTAGGACCGAGAAAGACCCGTCCGGGATTGCATGTCCCCACGGCCGGAGCCCTCAGGGAAAACCCAATCGAGACCCGGTCGGGACGGCGCCGAAGACTAGAGCAGCAGAAGGGGAAAGGATGCGAGCAAGCTGACGCAGCCGTCATCCCACGGAGGGCGACAAGCTCCAAATTCCGCCTCCGAAGGTCGAGTCAGAGGCAAGCTGGTGGACGAGAGTGGAGCACGCTACGTGAAAAATCGACCAAAATTGGTAATGCCCAATGGGAACGCCCAAACGGAAATTGGTGGCGGTTCAAGGAGGCGGTTTGAGGCACGAAGATTTCAGGGAACGTCCAATGGGAGCTCGTTAATTTACAAGGACAAGCCTCGAAGACGAGAAAATCAGGCACGTTTTACTGGCAAAAAGGCCGATTTTTAGTGCGAAGGAAAAACCCGATCGGGCAGTCCCTAGCCTAACGAAGGCGAAGCCCCGACCCCACATGGATATCATGGACGCAGCGACGACGATTGCCGCTGGAAGAAACCCTGTACGGGAGAGCGTACGAAAGAAATGCGAAGGCAGTTTATTTGGAGGCAGGAGTACCCGGACGAGGACGCTTACGAGAAGGGGCGCCAGCAGAATTGGAGGCTGAGGCCCCGTCGGCCCCGCTTCCGGCAGAACGGTCAGGCTCGAGCCCGAACCGGACGAGGACGTCCGAAATAGCGCCGTCGGTCACGTCCCGAACGCGGGCCTGCAGAATCCCGCTAAGGGCAGACTGAACCTCATTCAGAGCCGAACGGGTACGCTCAAGGGTATGAGAGTCCCGTATGAGGGTCGCCGCTTGACGAAGGACGGCCGGAACCGTAGCAGCCGGTTCAGCCCCATAGGTCTGGGCATTCTCAAGATACTCTTGCCAAGCTGCCCTGAGGTCTTCATCCACAATGGGCGGTACGTCCACTTGGTCGAACGTCTCTAGGACGAGTTCGGGCCTTGCGGCGACGAAGCTAGCCGTCGCACCGGCAGGCGGGCTGGAGGCAGGAACTTCAACGATGTCCTCCACAACCGCAGCGGCCGATTGGGACGCTCCACCCCCGTCGTCGGGAGGCAGCACGGACCTCAGAGGAGCCACCGGTACCGGAGAGGGAACATCGTCGTCGCCAGAATATTCCGGTCCCCTTCCTTCGGGAGGCGCAGCGACGGACTCGCCCCCGTATAGGGACGCCACGGCCGATACAGCCCCGCGACTATTCGGAGGAAAAATCGGAACGGCATCCGCGGCGACCTCAGGAGGATGAAAGCACTCCGGAACGAATCCTTTCCCTCGGGGGTAATAATCAGCGACTTCCAATACCGGCCAGGGGGAGCGACGAGGCTCGGGAAGGACGACCCGAGTGGGATATGGCTTGCCATCGTCATGCCCACCAGGGTGACGCGGCATAGGCGCGAACCGGTCGGTCTCATAGTCGTACCAAAGGAACCCCGGGGTCTTCGTCCAATCGGTTTCGGCGGCGTATCGCAAAAGCGTCTCCGTCTCCTGAGGGTCGAATTCCGTTCCTCGGACGATATTCTGTACGCCGAGCTCGCGGACGTACGAAATAAGCCCGGTAGGCAGAGGCATCAGTCGACCCACAGGGGAAGCGATACCGCGGTCCTGGAAGAGACGCCAGTCACGGTTCTTGGCGTTCATCTGAATCCCGTAGCGGGCGGCGTGAAGAAAGGCCATGACGGACGATACGGCCCACTCGACGGCGACGATCTGCCAAAGCCATGCACGGAGGCGACTCTTCTGAAGGTCCAGACTACCGTGATACGCCAAAACGGCTGGCGTGGGCACGCAGAGCGACCGAGGGACGTCCCGATAGAAGGGTTGTGGTGGCACGCGGATGTAGTAGTTCTGCCGGAGTCGGGAAGGCATGTCGAAGAATTCCAAATTATGCCATCCATAGAAGAACCACTGCGTATTCCGAACACGGGACTCGTCGGAACAGTTGTCGCCCCACCAGCGCCGATCGCGAAGCCAATATAACCGGTCATACGGGGGCTCGAAGGCAAGGAGCCCGAGCACGCTGTGACCCGCAGGGAGAAAACTCCCACCAGGGGCGACGTCCTCAGGTCGCGGAAGATGTTGAAGACCGGAGAGGATGGTCTGCAGACGGATTTGGTACTCCCTTTCGGGCCAACAACGCACATGGGATAGATCGGCCCGTCCATGCGTGCGCGTCCGGTCGTTCGGTGTCAGGGGTAGATGGCGCCAGCGAGCCGTCCACGCTTCGTCCCGGCTTCGGCGATACCCGTTCGGGAGGCTGATTCCGTCTTGACAGACTTCTTGAAACCGGAGAGCGTCAAAGTACCAATGGGACCAGCCCACGTACTGTTCGACCGGGTACGGCACCACGGAAGGACGTTGGGAAGCCTCGGCGGGGGTGCGGCGCTGACGATGGTCGTACTACTTTGCCGGGTTGACCCAGCGGGACGCCGACCCGGGCGCGAGAGGAGACATAGCTGGAGGCGTCGGAGGTGCTCGAGAGGGTTCCGAGATGAAGGACGTGGGGTCGAGCGGCGGACTTGTAGGCGGTAGGGAGGCCGCCGCGTCCGTATTTATAGCCACCGTTCGCGGAATTCGTCCCGGCGGCGGAGGGGCGCCCCAGTGGGTTTCGCCCTGAATTACGTCCGTGGAGGTACTGTGCGCACTTGTCGGCCTGAAAGGCGTTGCTCCGTAGCCTACGCCCCTTCGGCGGCGGGCCTGCCTCCTAATCATGGCGTGGGAGGGAGTCGTCCGATGGCGGAGAATAACGCAAGGGGCGGGAGAAGCGACACGACCACAGGACGGGCGGACGCGAGAGAGGTCACCGGCTCCCCTCTGTCACACGGGAATGTGCCGGCCTTCCTCAAAGGACAGAAGCAGCGAGGACTCCCGAAAGGGCACGGAAGGCTTGGCGGGAATAGACCGTGTGTCCGAGTTCGGAGGAGTACCGCGAGGTCGAGTGCCGCCGTGCAGAGGCGTCGCGGAGGCGAACCGACGCCTAATCACGACCCGAAGGGAGTTCACACCGGGCCGGCTTGGGCCAGTTTCGCAATGGCCCCGTGGCGTCGGTAACGCCCGTACAACGGCCGCTTGAAGGAGGCTAACGGGCGCGGGCCACAAACGTAATGGCCGCCCCGAGGACGTGGCGCACTCAAAGAAGAGGGGTGTGTGGGAGAACGGGTACCGACCGGTGTCGGTAAACGTAACGACCCGGAGGGAGGCCCCGTAGGGGTGATCAGACGATATTGGAAAGGCAGGGGGTAATTCAGCTTGTACACGGGGTGCACGTACCGCCACGGGTGACAGGTGGCGGCGGAATGGCCACGTGTACCGCCGTACGTATAACGTCCCGATCGGGTACAGTAGACTAGTAGTTCCTACTGTAGGGGCGTAGAAATTAGTGTAATGGGAGTGTCAGCCAGGGGAGTCCCAGCTAGCACACGTGGTGCGCGCTCTGCCTGCGAGTACAGGTGGCAGGAGCCCAGCCACGTGTGCTGCTGTGCAGATTACTCCCCGGTGGAGTACAGTAGAGGTACTCCACTGTAGTGATCCAAAGTAGAAGTGGATCACTACTGTACTGCCCGGCCGCCGGAGGTCGACGTACTTAGGGGCCGAGGCAGTACGCTCCCAGAGTAAAAAAAGGGGTAGCGACCCCCGGGGCGAGAACTTAGGAGAAAGAGGCAAATCGTCCCGCACGGGTTATTCTTGAGGGCCGGAAGCACACGCTCCCCAGTTTGGTCGTTCCACCGCCTGGTGGAAGCGTATGCCCATTGAGCCCTATCCCCTCCTGGGTCGCAATTCCACTCGTCCGTTTACCGGAGTCATAACCGCCGCCCTCAAAGAGAGGTTGGTGGTGTTGTAATTTTACCGCTGCCGTGGACACCCCCTCCGTGACGGGGTAAAAACCGAACCGGAAGGATCCATATTATTACACCTCCGACTGGTGACGGCTCCAGTCGTGGGCCACTCCTGCGCTCCGGATGCGCCCGGAGGAGCAGTAGCACCGGGCCCACTCGAGGGGGCTCCTGGCGGCCTCTCGGCCGAGGTCTGTTCCATCTCACGGGCACGGCGGCGCGTTGAGTTCAGCTCCACCGCCATGTGCGCGAACGCTCCCATCTGTTCTGCTGATGGGATGGGTTGCGGGTCGCGTCGGACCCCGGAGTTTGCACTCGCGGGTCGACCCGCAACGTCCACGGCGGGGGAATCAATGCGCGCCTCTTCGACGAGTACTAAACGGGACTGTAGCTGGTCGACGAGGGCGCGCAGGTTCTCCAAGGACTGAGTTACGTGCTCAAACCTTCCATTGTGGAGGGAGCGCAACTCACCCATACAGCGGTCGTAGACGCTGTCGGAGACGTCGATACGGAGGGATGCTCGGACATCTTCGATATACTCCGCGATGCGATCGTACATCGCGCGAGCGCGTCCTTCGGAGAAGTCGGGCGACGGTTCGCGGTCTCGAGGACCAGCGTCGCCGTCGCCGACTCGGACGCGGAGCGCGGCCTCTCGCACATCGGCGGGCTCCGAGCGAATCGAGGTGGGATATTCGCCACTCATCTCGACGCGTACGAATGCGGAGGTAAACGATAGTCTTCTCGGTTCGATCTTGAGAGTCTTCTAGGTCGGGAGACCACTGTAGTATAATAACCCCCAACGACGAGGGGGGTGAGTACTGACAGTTCGGAAAGACCCCGATCGGCGGGAAGACAGAAGCACGGCCCACCCACGATACCAAGCACGGGCTCGAGGTAGCGGTGGTAGAGCAGGATCGGGGAGGACGTGCGCACGCGCGAGCGGTTCGACGCCTCAGCGCCCGGGAGCGGTACTGGGTGACGATCCAGTACTGACGGGCGGAGGCGGAGCCGATTCGTGGGCGTGCTGCGCTCGTCCTCAACCCGCGCGCGGTGCGACTCCTAGGTAAAACGGACGGAAGTACCTAAAAGTCAGCGGGCGGACCAAGGTGGAGGATCCTTGACAAGTCCGTCCTTGTCGTCCTCCACCGCCGGCAGTCCGCTCATATTTAATGTACATTGTAGTCTATCATAACTCTACAGTAGTGCCGGTCTACCGACACTGTAACGCTGTCAGCAGGCGGGGATGACAGTCCACGTGTAGTACGCGTCCCGTACACGTGGAGGACGTGTGTGTGCGCGCATGGCTGTAAGGCTCGTTGCCTTACTGTCCCTGATCCGATCCTAATCTAATTTCCGTTTCGGGTTATACCACAAAAGCGTCTACTGCGCCATTACAGACATTACAGCGATGTGTTGCGCCCCAGTTGACCGCTGCTGATGTGTCCCACAGTACCATCCTTTCTCCAACTCGATTTCCATTTTCTGTTGGGCTCATGTATTTGCGCGCTCGCTTATTTTCGTGGTAGTCGTTCTTCAGCTTTAGGCTTTCATCTGCAGAAGAAATTGGGAAGTCGTTGATGGAATGCTTTCCGGGACACTTTGAATTTAAACAATTGGGCGTTTCGAGATCTCGCTTACGTCCTGCAGGACCCGATTTTTCGTTTCCTTTCTGTTCCGTATCTGCTTTGTCGGAGGCGGCGGGCGCACCACGTTTATTGTTGTTTCTATGCACTTTCCTTTTCCTGTTGTTCAGTATTTTGCTATCTTGGACATGCTTGATGAAGTCATCATCGGAATCGGAGACATTTGCTTGAAAAAACCTTGACAGAATTGATGCCATAAATGAAACGTGCTTCCTGTGCCAACTCCGTGATAAACTTTTGAAGTTTTTTTGAAACTCTTGTCTCCGGTGAATTTTATCGTGCTCAACATGCCATGCTTCAAGTCAGTGAGAGAAACGCGTTTGAAAATGTGCTCAACGCCGATTTCCGGTTTCTTAGTGATGAATTCGAAATATCCGCAGTTTTCAAGGATGGTAGCATATTTCAAGCAGGGGTTCCGGACCTGCATCTCCAAAGTGTCACCCGCTTCGTCATTTTCATCATGAGGTTCTTGATCTCCCGATCGATCTTTCCCAGCTCGTAGTCTTCAGGATTCACACGAGCTCTACCTTTGACACAATCCTTCTCAATGCTTGTGGCACTGATCCAATCACATGAAAAATCGAAGGATAGGTTTGGGGATAGAGTCGAATTACGTTGTAAGCTGAATGTCAGTACTGCCATCGGACTTCTTCTCAGCGGTACAGCGCTCATAGATCTCGCGTTTTTGCATAAAAAACGAAATCTTCCGTCTTGATGCCACTGAGCCGTGGCGCGTCAATTGTTCCAACAGTGGTCTACCGGATCGTATCGTTCTTATTCCCGTTAGAAGCCTGTCCAGCACTCACGTCCTGCGTCGTCATGATGAAAGCCGAATCTCAAACCAAACAGTCGAAACTACTTTCCGCGGAGCAGTAGTTACTGTAGAAAAATGAAGGCCTGCCTGGCTGAGACCCGTTAGGTTAGCTTAACAATGAAAGGGGTTAGGACGCTAGTAGGTGAACGGGCGCGTTCGGCTGTGTGGTAAAAAAGCAGGAGGGCACTTGAACCAAGCGGGGGGTTTCCTTTTCTCCGGATGATGTTGCCTTTATGAATAAAAACCTAAAACACAGATCCTAGCGCCCGCTACGAGTCTTTTTACCCTTGCCTGTTGCACTAACTGGCGGTGCTTTGGCTTTGCCCGATTTCGTTTAGGCACATCCCAGGGCCGTCAGTGGGCAGATCGCGATCTGCCCAGTCCCTTAAGGGGCAGCCTGAATCGAAATTTGCAAAACTGCAAAACCCGATGATGAAGACGTACTGGCGCTGCCCTTTCAAGTATCGTGCAAAGGAAGACCTTCATGCGCCGCGGATACTATCTCGCGTCTTTCCGTCTGCGGATTACACTGTAGTATGCAGACCATCGCGCTGCTTCGCTTCGGCGAGCATGGAAGATATTGGAATAGTTACAGTTTGATAAAGGAGTATCCGAATAATGCCTTAGAAAAGCTATTAGATACAGGTTACGACCTGAACACTGTTCCAAAATGGATGGTCAGGACTCCGGCAAGTTGTACTTCTGGAAAATGGCAATGTGAGAATGTCTATCAATATCGCGAAATACCTCACCACGCGAATGGGTCACGCGGTGAGGACAGAACTTGCCTTTGTTTAGAGATGGATTCATGTACTGTAGTAAATAACGGACAGTCCTACGCGACTAGCGCGTGGGTCGGACCGGGGTAAGATTTGAACAGACTTGTCATCACAGAACCCCTGGCGAACAGCGCTCCGATTACCCGGAGGTTCGGTAGGGTTGGAAGAGCCGGTCGTAGGCTCTTCTTGACATCAATAAACTGTTTAACTTATTTCCTTTATTCATTTCGGGACGAACTCTCACAAATAAGAAGACAACGTGGCATCCTTGTTGCCTCAATGGGATTGATGCTTCCCTTGCTTTTGCCAGCTCCCAGATTGCCCTCTTCACAGCATAACATTAAGTTTACAGTAGGTTGTGCCATACCTAACGCATTGTTCACACTCTTGGCTGGGTCAGAAATATGACCTGTGCATGCAGTATCTACCCTTACTGCTAGTAACGGCTGAGGTCGCGTTTTGCAACATCTGCATCCGGACTTTTCCTCACCTGCAATACCTCCCCCATGCCCATCTATTCAGTCTCTCACGTAGCCTGGAGTAGGTGACCTCGTCCTCCTGTTGCAGTCGCCTGGAAAACATGTGCGATAGCTCCGGGCAACTTGGGGGCATAGCCGATGTTGCATCGGCTGTGGTCAGTCTCCCGACAGTTCTTGCCGCTTCCGCGGTTTTCTTTTCAGCCATGCAAGGTGTCCTTGTTCTTGAATCTGCAGACCCGTGCCGTCTCTCGAAACGAAAGATGAACATTTTGCTGGCCTTAGAGCTTGCAGAAGTCCTTGTGAGTGCCACTTCCGAGATATTATCATTTGTCGAACTTCGCGCAGCGCTGATGGAGAGTTTACAGTGGTTGCAATGGGTTGCACCTTGCCTTTTAGCTGCCGGAATGCTGGAAACTTTGGTGGACGTCTATTTTACCTTCGCCATGATCACAACAAGTCGAGTGGGCTGGATGCCGTTCTCTGCGACTGGGGACTCAAAAAAGGCCTGGGAAGTTTTTCCGTTCATGTTGACATGTTCGCTGTCAGCTTCTCTCATTGGGTGGAGACTAAGATGGTGGTGGACCGGCAACACAGTGGCTTCAGAAATGGCTATCAAATCAGTATCGGATGAAATGGCTTTATCGAAGGGTGTTATGGGTTTTGCCGTCGGATGGACGGTCGCTGTTAGCGGTCTCGCTTTAATTATCATAATGCTCTCAGACTGCGCGGAAGACGGGGCTAACTACATCGCTAGCGTCCCGTACCTATGGAAACCTGACGCGTGGTTAAACGATCAGCACGGAGATATTAAGATATGGTACAGAAACACAAAAGGGGAAGGTTCTTTGCAGCAATACGCGGCAACTGCTGCGCTTGACGGAACAGTGCCAATCCCGGAGACCGAAACAGACGTGTGGCTTCAGTTGGAGAAAAAGCCTTTGCATTGTGGGAACGCCATTGTTGGTAAAGATCAGGAACGTTTAAATCAAGAAAGAAGAAGCACATCCGGGCTTCACATGATTATATTGATTGCTGAGCATCTCGTTGTACTCCCTTTGCTTTTTGTGGTTGTGTTTGCCGTCGGGAGGTTGCATGATACCTTAGACTGCAGCAATTTTACTGCCTTAAAGCAACTTGCTGATGGTGTTATCATTATTTCGTTTTTGGAAGTCGCAATCGGCATCAAGAACATCTTATGGAGTACGAGGGGAGTAGCAAAAGGAGAGCGTGCAAAACCTTCAAGTGATGAACGACTCCGGGAGTTGAGAGTCTTCTATGCCAAACACCTAACAGCGGAGGAATCAACAAGCCTAAATGATCTGAATATTGAATAAATGGACGCGAATGGTACTCGATAGCAGAGATTCACATATGCCACAGATATCATTCAAGCTGGTGGGAAAATGGCCAAGGCGAGAAACAAGGCGAGGAGTCGAGCGAGACGGGGACCGTGCGGTCGGCACAACAACGTATTGGGGGTGCTTGCGCTGCAGCAGGGATGCAATGCGAAGCACAGCCATGTCTAGCATTTCGAACCAAACACAGATGTACAGTACTTGGTATCTTACGGTGCACATTCTGTTCCGTGAGCAGCTACAGAAAATTGGGTGGCGTGTCTCGTCCTTGACCAAAGGTTATTACACAGCCTCGCACGAATCACGAAATTTTGCGGTCAGTGGGCTTCGGATTTCTTTTAGCAGCGTGCAACTGGGAGAGTAGAGTACAACTGGGAGAGTAGAGTACAGCGAGGGGGGGGGGGTGGGTGTCGCGCAATAGTGCTACTTGGAGTAGTGCCTCCCTCGATATAGTGCTATAGCTAGAGCTCTGTCATGGGTTATCATACTAGTTACACGTCTACACGTATATTTGTTTTAAAGCAATCAATGATATGTCTTTCTTACATTCCCAATTTGTAGGAATAATGCGGCTTCTGTATAGTGCCACGCACGAAATAGTACCATATGTTGAGGTTTGTTCTGGTATAGCACTATGTCGTGGGACCCCTGTACCTTCCAAGGTACCCTTATTACTGTACCGAACTCGATCCGAAACTCATGCTCGCTGTAATAAAATAATCCAATCCCTGTGAATTCAAATCACTTGAAATTAAACAAAACCGCACTAAAATTCATTTTCTATGAGGCTGCGTTTTCATGCCTTTGCTTAGCTCCCTCCTCGCTACGGAGACCAGACAAAGATCCATCCATTTCGGTGGCACGAGCTCTTCCCGATTACACTAGAGGAAAGGTGACAACAAGCTACGTTCCCAAGTTGTTTGCAAAGATTTTGACGAGGGCAGCTGAATTTGTTACAAGTCGTGTTGCTCCTCTGCGTAGTTTCCTACTTCTTCTCTCAAGCAGTGTTTGACAGTGATTTGCCATGGTTGAGCAGACCGCAGTAATGCTTCGCGCAAGCGCTCTGTTTGGATTAATGATGCAGAGGGGCGCCTCGCGTACTCGTCATGCCCCCGTGAAAGTTGCATTGGCAGCCAGCACAGCTGCTGCGGGGGGTTCTACGGCAACAGGATTTGTGAAATCTGAAGAACCTATGAGAGAAGATGCGTCCACTCCGATAACTGAAGAGAAACCGGGATCTGTTGTAAGGTCTGTGGGGGAACAGATTTCGATTGGCGGGGTACTTGGTTTCGCGGCTGGGTATTCGATACGAAAGGTTGGAAAGGCCGTCTTGTTTTTAGTGGGGACGGAAGTATGTATCCTGCAGTATATGGCATACCGCGAGTGGTTGACAATGGACTGGAGAAGACTGGGACGTGATCTCTCGCCAAAGTTCTCCAAATCGGCGTGGCAAGGGATTGTCGAGATTCTCGTGTACAAGATGCCATTTAGCGCAGCTTTTTCAGGTGGTCTTGCAGCAGGCTTAAGATTGTCGTCTTCCAAGTGAAAACGAGACATGGAATCGTGCTATCTAAAATATTGCGATCACCAACGTGATGTTACTGGTGAAGCATGGACTGCGTCCAGTGACTCATGACGCCAGCCAGCCTGATGTGATGAGCTTTCCCGGTTGTTTCTCTGTAGAACTAGAATCAATCAGCAAGAAATATTTGAGCATGCAGGAGCAACCGCGCACTCAAAGCGAAACCAAATGGTTGCAGGGCATCATAGTGCAGTTCACATGACTACGATGCCAGATCTCGAACGGTGTCGCAGCTCTAGAGATGCCGAAATGGCGGAAACAATATCGTTTAACTGCAGCGGTTATTATAATGTGCATGCAATCTCGGTGTGATGGCGCTTGTGGGTGAGGAGTCGATAGAGGGATGCATAGATACATCCACCACAAGCAACAGCGGCGGAGTAGTATCCTTCATGGGGCTGTTGCAAAGCATCATCTCGCTGCTTCACACACATGTGACGGGAAAAGAAAAGTTGCAACGAAATTTTATCTGAATATTAAAAAGCAATGGTTTGCTGCCCGCTTCGCCACCGCATTCATTTAAGTGAGATTGGACCACCAATTCATTGCTTGTCCCCGACATCGCTGTCATAGGGGAAATTCGCTACGATCGCTCGTTTGGCCACATTGCAGAAAAATCGCCCCTCCCAGGTTGCGGTCCCCATCCCATCCCTCCCCGTCGACGTATTTCTTTGAGCACCGGACGCTATGCTGCCCTCACTCCGCGTAATTCCGCGCGCGACAGCCCGACCGGTACGTCCCTGTCCTCCAGCGTCAAGGTTCTGCCTTCGAGGATTTGCGTTTCTAGCTAGCGTCCGACCTAACCTGTTTGCGATTTCAAAATCCCTCTCGCATATTGGATCCATTGCTCCATGTCGCTTATCGTATCCCATCATTTCACCTATCGCGGCCTTACTGTTCTCAGGGCTTTCGTCGTGGGTTGGCCACCAGCACGGAGGCGCCCATGATGTGGCAACTCGCCCACGGCATGTTTGATCCGGAAGTTTCCATGGCAGAGAAGCTCCCAGGAATCCCTGATCCCGTTGAGAAGGTCGCAGCCCCGGCAGGACCGGTTGAAACATCTACTCTTCCCAATGGTGTGCGTGTTGCCTCACAGGACTTGGACGGGCCAGTATCAGCTATTGGTCTCTTTGTCGGCGCTGGATCCCGCCACGAGACTCCGTACACATCCGGGATCTCGCATCTACTCGAGCACCTTGCGTACAAGGGATCTGCGATGCGTAGTAAGTACAGAATGGTTCGAGATATGGAGCGCTCAGGGGCCGTTTTCTCCGCGTCTGCAGCAAGGGAGACCATAGCGTATACTGCTGAAGGACTGCGAGAGAAGGTTCCCGAAATGGTTGATATCATGGCAGAAACCGCTGTTTTACCTGGTGTGGCTATTAGCGATAGTGGAACAGGTGAGTGGGACGGCGCCATGGGTGAAATCAAGACTCAAACAGATGTAATGAAGATAGAGCTCAAGAATTTCGCTGACGACGCTGCTGGGGTCGTCACCGAAGCCATTCATGGCGCTGCCTTTCATGGAAACACTCTAGGTAAGCGAACATTGACGACCCGTTCATATCAATTGCGCGATCGCGTTTCCCACGAGGTGCGAGAGTTTTCAGGCGTAGCCGATCTTTTCTTCTGAGAAGATCACTCAGGCTCCCCGTGTGATAGTTGCACCTCGAACATTAGTTGCGTATTGCCATCGGTGCTCGAAGGCAAGACACTCTGAGGATTTCTTTGCTACGCTGTTTTGCGGATGCTCGCAGCGCGGCGCAAACAATCCTTGAACATTTCTATCAATGAGGTCAACTGATATCATGTTTTTCGATGCTAACCAGTGGATTTGACGTGTGTTTCATGTTACTATCTCCAGGATTGCCACTTGTCTCTGAGGAACGGAAACTTGCCCAGATGAGTCCACGCATGGTCGCTGATTTCGTTTCGGCAAACTACACGCCGGATCGCATTGTTCTTTCTGGTTCTAATATCAACCACAAGGCATTGGTCGAAGTTGCACAAAAGTCGTTAGGCGGTGTGACTGGTCAAAGCGTGTCCTCCTTGGAAGAAGCCCGTTATACGGGTGGTTCGACGAAGATAGGTGCTGATGGACCGGCACATGTCGCTATCGGATTCAAAGGTGTGTCGTGGAAGGATGACAGGCTTGTGGCAGCATGTGTTTTACACACGCTTCTTGGTGGTGGCGGGTCCTTCAGTTCGGGAGGTCCTGGAAAGGGAATGTACACACGACTGTACACCGAGATTCTGAACAAACATGGTTGGGTTTCGTCGGCAATGGCTTTCAATCACTGCTATGGAGATACCGGATTGTTTGGAATTCACAGTAGTTGTGATGACCCTGCGCATTTAAATAATTTGGTTGAGGTCGTGGGCGTGCAGATTGGAAAGCTTTCGAGACCACTTGCAGCTGGCGAGTTGGAAAGAGCCAAGGCCATGACGAAGAGCAGTCTGATCATGAATCTCGAGAGCCGTGCTGTTGTATGTGAGGACCTTGGCAGACAGTTACTTGCGGCTGGCAAGTATAGCGGGCCTGCCGAACTGATCAAGAAGATAGATGCAATTACAGAGGATGACATTCGCGAGGTCGTCAAGGAAATGCTGTCCAGCGCACCATCAGTAGTAACGTACGGGGAAGATTACGCGTCTTATGAGTACGCCGCCATTGAGTCGTCTATCAAAGCGCAGACTAAGCTTACCAACTGAACAACTTCAGTGTAGGCGCTAGATTCGGGCTCCTGAATAAATTTTTTAGTCTGGACGGTACGTACGGGTTACATTCTTGAAGGCTTCATGCATATCACTTTAATGTCAAACTCAGTTGCTCAGCGGTCAGAGTAAACTCATGTGGGGCGCATCGACGTTTTGGGCCACCCGTAGAAAAACGTTTCACCACGACTCCGAGGTCAATATCGTGTGGCGTAGTCATTTCGCTTGATTGGCAGCCAACTCTGCACGTAATCGCTTCGAAAAGTCGTCCTCGCCTTCAACCTCATCATCCCAATTATCCTCCCACTCTAAGTCCTCCTCTCCCATACGCTCAGCCTCATCCCAAGCTATTAGACGGAAAGCAATGTAACAAAGCGAATTTAAAAAAGATCAGTACATTTGCAGTGTGAAAAAGCCTTGGTCATCCGCTTGATGCTTCAATGGAATACAGTCCTTACCATCATCCTCGAATTCTTCAAAGTCGTCATCCTCTTCAAGGACGTCGCTTTCCTCAGGGGCCGCGGGCGCATCTTCCACTTTGGCAGCATCCGGGGCCTCCGTCGACATTTCCTGCTGCGGGGGTTCTGCACCTTCTGCCATTAGAATGCTGTTGGGATCACGGTTCCCGGCGGTGAGGTTTGTAAGTGGCGGCGGAGAGCTGGTTGGGCTGTATTGTGCCGTCGCCAGCTGAATGCCGCCTCCAGCCGTCACCGATACTGTAGCCTGGTTGTACTACAGACATTTTTGAACATTTTTCCGTGCCACCTATTTTCCAGTGACTTCGAATATCTAGTGAATATATCTATTCGACCGGGTCTTGTCCTCATATGAGGACAGCTCTTTTTTTTCCAAAAATATATACATTAAATTGAAAATTCGAAAAGCTACCTTGAGCACTAATTCTTTAATGTGCCTGTTTTCGGCAATAGCATCTTGCAGAACATCGGGATAGCAGCTTTGAATGCACAAAAAGCTTAAGAAAATAATGCAGATTGAGTACTAAGTTGCTTTTTTGAACTGGCGTTTTTGGCGTTTTTGGTTTTGAAGTTATTTTACATGCGGTTTTAGGGTGGTTTAAAAAGCTTCTTTTCCAGACATATCTAAAAACGACCACCGAGAACATGCAATTTTCACAAAGTTCTTTCTGGTCCCAAGTCAAAAGTCAAGAACGGTGGCAATGGTATCATTTTCTTTCTTGTCGGGGAAGCGAAAGTCAAGAATTAAATAGGTAGAACACTGTCCTCATGTAAGGACAAATGTCCTCACATGAGGACAATGGTCCGATAGACAAGTGTCTACTAGAGACGACAAGCGATATACATGAAATCAAAACTTTATAAGTCAGTTTGGACACCATTTCTTTAACGTACATGCCCTCGGCAATAACATCTAACAAAAACATTGGGATAGCAGTTGTGAGTAAACAGAAAGAATAAGAATCCAATGAAGTGTCAATACCCGGTTAACAATTTAAACAGTCATTTTGGTTTCGAAGATATCAGCACATAACGTTTTGAGGTCGGTCAAAAACCCTTCTCTTTAGTAGCGTCCGTAGGCAGCCAGCGCATGGGAGAATCTCCGACGGACCCACGACCCGTCGGACAACTCATGGCATTCAAATCTCCGTATTGCTCTAAAAATATCAATGCAGTTACTGTTTGAACAGATTTCTTTCCCTTTTTCTAGTCCTAAATAAAAGGTGAATATGGCTAACAAACCTTGTTTCTTGCAACCAGGACTGCATGCCTCTTCAAATTTACCGGATTCAGTTGAAAAATGACACAGAATGCATTTGTACAGAAGCGTTTTCGACACATGGCGTAGACCGCAGTTGTGTATGAAAGAAATTGACTCTTGACGAGCCTTACGACTTGTCCTACTATGGGCATGATGTTAGAAGGGAGGAAAAGTTCCGCCACATTGGCAGATGGGGGTGGATCTTTAATGATTTGGGGGGCATTTTAGGAAGAAGGAGCAAGCAGTTCAGCAGCTATGTTAAACAAGCGCTTGTTAAGACACACCCAGGCAAGTAGAATTCGGCTAAATATATAACTGCGATGGACAGTTATCTACCTCTGATTGCATAAGAAAGGCACGTGAGTGGTTGGTATCAACAGAATAACTGTTCGACCCATACATCTAGAATGGCTAAGGCATGACTTATTTCTAAGAGTATTAAGTTTATGGACTGGCTGGCTCCAAGTTCAGACCTTGATTCTATCGAAAATGTCGGCAGCAAGCTTGTCCGTGCCATATATAGTGGTTGCTGTCTGTTCAGGTCAGGTGAGGAGCTGAGGGCTATTATGCTGGAAGAATGATCAAAATTAGACCGACAATTCCTTTACGGGCTTGTGAAGAGCATGCACGCACAAGTGGTACCCTTCCCCGAGGGGGCAATTTGGTAATTATTTTGACGGAGCCTAACAAGTGTTTTATGCCACTATCCTGGGCTACCAAAAAGCGTCTGCTACAGCCAGTGGGATTTCCATGTGCCATAGACGACGAAAGGACGCGGGCAAAAACAACCTGTTTGAAGCCATTTGGAATTTTCACACACGTGCAGAAAGGGCTCAAATGAGAAAAAGAGGCAATTTGGTAATTTTAGTTATGAACCGGAAAGCGACAACAAAGATTGCACCAACTGTGGGGGAGATTTGGGGTACTGTACAGGGTACAGTACCCAGGAGTGGCCCCAGGACCAAAGCCTTCAAAGATGATTTTATTGGTCTACGTGTACGCCAGGTGTACACGTGGACAATCTCCCATTGAAGGGCGGCGGTCCTGGGAAGTGGAAGATGCTGGCGGCCCCTCTATAAGAGAAAGGGGCGCGCCGCGACACCCCGCGACAGGAGGGACACAACAGAAAAAAACAACAACACCCGGACCGACCCCCCCTCTTGAAATAAACATCTCGCTTTTCTCTCTCCCCTACGCGCGCAGCCCCCTTTTTTTAGCTACCAACATGGTACTCTTGTGGAGGGGTGGCAAAGAAGACGGCTCCCTGTCACAGTTTGACGGGTCGAAGCCGGCCGACGTTCACAAGTTCTTCTTCGTCTTCGAGAATGTTGCCACCTCTGGCAAGTCGGACGAAGAAAGGGCATCTGAACTCCTTCGCTACCTGGAGGGAGATGCATTCCACTTCTTTTATCAAGCCTTTGTCAAGAACGGAGATATCAGTGCAGATGGCTCCGACTACCAGAAGGTCAAGAAGGCCTTGGTCGAGCGGTTCGCCCCGGTTGAATCACCTGAAGATGTGATTCGGGATGCGATGGCCGCTCGCCTTTCTTTCGGGGATCTCAGTGGGTCCCTTCGAAACTCAGACCGTCTCTACGAGAAGGCGG